TTCATTCACTCACTCTTTACCCCCTCTTGCTTTGTTTCCAACTTTATAAGTGCATTGTAGGTTCTCTCAGCAGGCCCTGAAGCCACACGTTCGCTTTCTCATTTATAGATGTGTAATGAGTTCTGCCTCTGTTTGCTCTTACAACAATAATAAGTAAAGGAAAGTAATTAAAAGAGGCAGAAGGGGGGGGGGACAAGGGGAACCCACCGCCAGACAGGTCCTGCATATGGCAATTGACAGAGAGACTTTTTAATGCAATCGTAGGTGTGCATGCATGTTTTTTCCCTTTTCTATTTGCAATTTTAAGTGCTTATTTTTTTCCAAATGCATTAATTTAATTAGATATAACGCAAACAAAGCACGCTCTAGTTGCAGCGGTAATATTTGCTCTTGGCGTCTAACGTGAAGAGGGATGAGCCATATCCTCGAAGGGCAGTGGGTTTGTGTCGGGGGAGCGACGGGTGGGGGTTGCCTATACAGTATATTTAGATTTAATTAGTTGTGTCACGAATCGTAGCTTCTCCATCACAGAGCTGCGCGTTAACACAATGTGCTAGAACGTTGACACCTGTTCTGGCCTCGTTTGTCCTCGAGCCGACTCTCTCAGATCGCCTCTCAGATGTTCAGGCATGCATGGCAAAAGCGCCAAACCACTAGAGCATACAGCAAACAAATATCAGAAAGCGTTGGGACTGGAAATCTAAGCCCTTTGCTAACAGGGACACAGATAGCAAATAGACACTGTGGCATCGTGCAACGGATGATTATCAGACCCATCCCCTGCTAGTGTTACTCTGACTAGTTCATTCTAGTTTGAAGTAAAACTATAAGCACACTGTGTGTTGAACAAGTCAAGGATATAATTGTGCTGATGTGCAGTGTATGTAAGAAAGGCAGACGCACACACAAAAAGCTACCATAACAGCAAACAATCACACTAAAACAATTAGAGGTTGAAATATTTTAATTACTAGAATATCAGATACTGTAATTTTTCAACAACTGTGTAATTACAACATGAAAAATGTCTGGCAATGAAATCAAATAATTTTGACGAATAAATAGAATATGCCAGTTATGCTCAATCAATTCGGAGGCGCGATTGAATGCCACGCTACAGATGGAGACCAATTACAATCAGCACACTTTGATATGTTTTACTCTCTCCGAGTGTTACTTGCGGCGGTGCTTTGACTGCTCATTCACTCGAGCATCGTTCGCTCATGAGCATTTTACCATCACACACGATTACCATTTGTAACGCTTCTGGTGAGGGGAGAAAAAGGAATTGCCGATAGCTAAAGCCTGTCTTCCTTGATTTATTGTTGACGTGAATGTTGAAAGAGTGCTTGTGTTTGTGTGAGTGTGTCTGTGTGTGAGGGAGAGAGAAGAGTGTGTTTGTCACCGGGACAATGTTTCAAACACTATTTGTCACAGTGAGATCAAAGAACTACTAAATTACCCTCAAAGGTATCCAGCTGAATAATGTAATGGTTCATTATAAAGATTTGATCTGCATCTGGAAGACGTCTTAACGGGGTAGTGAAATATGAAGCTTCATTATGACAAATACACTGGTCAAATGGAGTCGTGTGAAGTAACACAGATAACAGTGGCCTGGTGTGAGCGGCAGTGTGTTTGTGCTCATACTGTGAGGTGCGTCGTTGAAGATGAGTATATCAAAATATTGTGTGTGTGTGTGTGTGTGTATACACACATAAGCATTTTTGTAAGCATGAGTATGTTGTGAGGAGTGTCGAGGTCGTGTGGATCACAGTCTGCCTGCTGGACAGTTTTCACTGAAATTAGTTCAAAAGATGCAACTTCTTTAATTGCACAATTACATGTGTAGTATTCATAATTATGATGCTTACAGAAAGCACAACATTGTGTTTATACATGTAATTTATGTGATTTTCTGCAATAACTACAATAAAATGTACCTTTTTGAGAATTTGGGTGTTACCTCATTTTCAAGTTTAATACTTCAGTACTTTCTTATACTGTCAATCTCTGTGTGTTTTAACTTATTTATTTGCTTATCAGCTTTTGTCTGTACATTTTTACTGTTTTAAACGTAAAAAATATAAATATGTATAAATATAATTTTATAAATATAATCCATTTTTATCTGAAACATTTTGAAAACTTTATTTATTAACCAATGCATTTTGAAAAATAAAATGTAAAAACTGATTAATAACATTTTACCTTAGGAAATATATCAAAGCATTTGTATGCAAGTAACTAGGTAAAAGTTAATTTTGTTTATTGTCATAATTTCTGTGTATTGTAATTGCAGCATAAAGTTTTGTTATGGCTTTAATAATCTGTTTCCTAATTGCATGTTAATGGATTTTTAATAGTAGCATGCCATTATTTGTAAGACGTTAAAGAAAGTATCAGCCTTATATCCCTGCAATTTAAAGAACTTTAAAAAATCCCTCAGGTGAAGAGAAAAAACTGTGAAAGAAAAAGAAAAAAAACTGAAGGAACACCAGAACAAGAGACTTTTCCTACTTCTATGCGCAGTAGACATTGCTCTCTTTATTGAAAGATGACATTTAATCAATGGCCACCTCTTTAAATGGCATTCATTTAATTTGTGAGCTAGCCAGGCACGGCTGTCCTCTTCCCCTATTCTTTGTGTGTCTATGTGAGCGAATGACGTAACCGAGACACGCCGCGGCACACATACACTATTGATTACACTCAACACATCTTGGCAATTAAGAGATGGCAAGGTAGAGTAATAAAGGGTCATTAGTGAGGCATGCTTGTGAACCCTCATCAAAGGTGATGTCGCCGGCAGGGGCGGAGCTCCTGCAGGGTCGCCACAGGGGTTCGGCGCATTTGCATATCTGCTCGGAGACGCACTGTGGCTGACCCCGTGGCTGGGATCAGTATGAGTCGCTCTCGTTGATCAGGGGTTCACCACCGGTTCAAGGTAACAAAAAGTGAACCCATCGCCATTAATTGGTCCTGGGGAAAAAAAAAACAGAAAGAGAGACAAATAAAAAGGTTACTTGGGAAAGGTGAGGGGGCCTGGAGTGGAGGGAAAGTAAAGGCTGTGTGCTCCAAATTGGGTATGAATTATAAATAAGAGCAGTGGAGGCAATGTCTTCTCCTCTGGAGTGCTGTTGTGCCAGGACCTACACCACTAAAGAGATTGTTTGGGCAGCAGGTATCGACTAGCTGATCGTCAGCTTGGTAAACTTGACCTGAGGCACTGATCATTGGCCGAGTTAGAAAGACTCAACCATTCTGATACACACACACACACACACACACACACAAGCACACACCATTTTCCCATCTCACCACAGCTATCTTCATCAATACTGGCCAGACAGAGGTCAGTGTAATAAACATGGAGGTCAATATCATGGCCATCTGAGTACACTTTTGGCATGGGCCTTAAAGTTGGTCTTTAATTGGATCCCTCCGGGCAAGTTCATGCACCAGTTGCAATGCGGAGGGAAAAGAATGAGAAATCGTGATTGAGGGAGAAAAGCACATCAGTCTGATCCTCTTTGTTCCACACAAACTGATGCAGACGTATATCAAGGCAGGCATAAGCTACGTACGGTGTGAATGGTTCAAAGTGGAATTGATCTAACCGGGGTTCAATTCAACCTTTCTCACAAACAGCACAATAAATAAACAGACCCAATGTACTTGTTTCACGCCAGACGCTGCCTGTCTGAAAGTGCTGCATTATTAGGGCTGTGAAAGGCTCTTGTGGGACTTTGAAAGGTCTGATGAGGACTTAGGGTGTACATGTCACTTCACCTGGATCCAATGACCCAAACATGGGAATTCTTTAACCTGCTGCCACAGAGGGAAAACTGAGCCATTTGTGGATTAACTGATAGGTGTATCGAACTCCAGAGAGAGAAAATTTTATCTTCCATGGATAGCGGCCATTCCATCCATTGTCCTTAAGTGCGCAATATCCTAATAGATGGAAAATGTTGTGTCGGGGCACACAGTACACAGAGTCCAAAGTTTTTGCTTGGCATCAGTCATACTAAACTATTTAGAGTATGAAACAGTCCTCACATCACTTCCTTTAATCTAAGGGCCCTGGAGACCTCAGTAGGAAGTGTTAAAGGAACAGTTCAGTCTAAAAATGATCATTTATGTCATAATTTATTCACCCTCATATCATTCCAATCCTTATGCAGAACTCAAAATAAGATCACTTTTAAAAGTGTAATTATTGTCCATACACTCAGACTATGTAGAAATTGTACCTTTAGGGGTACGGCAGCTTGTCAGAGGTGCATTGACCTTAAAGGGACATTTTTGGGTTCCACTTTATATTAAGTGGCCTTAACTACTATGTACTTACATATAAATTAATCATTTGAAACAATGCACTTACTGTGTACATACATGTTTTTACATTGTACATTTTTAAAATACCGGCATGTAATTACATCTGTAATTAATTTCTGTAAATTACCTTTATAATTATAATTAATTATAACCCACCCTTAAACCTACCCATACCACCAAACCTGTCCCTAAACGTACCCATATTCCACCTACAATATGAACACAATGAGTACATTGAACTTATATTTTTTTTATAGAAGTACATAGTAGTTAAGGCCTCTTAATATAAAGTGGGACCCATTTTTGTACCTTATTTCCCCCTAAAATTGCATAGTTGTACTTAAGGTACTGCTCTGAGGTACTAATATGCACCTTTTAGAGGTACAAAGTTGTCCCTTTAAAGAAACTGCCCCAGTGACAAGCTGTTGTACCTCTAAAGGTACAACATTTTTTCTGACAGTTTACAGTGAAAGTTTCAAAAGATCATCTTTAGTGTTAATCAGAAAAAAATGAAGTCATACAGGGTGACTAAATGTGAGAGTTTTCATTTTGGAGTTAACTATCCCTTTAAATATAAAAATGTGGCTTATTTTACTGTAATCATAAACAGGTATGGCTGTATGTTTTTCACGTCCACCTTCATGTTCTGTCTTTTGCAGGTACTGAGAAGCACGAGTTAACATCATGGAAGAGCTTCCACTCCATCTTCAAGTTCTTCAGCGATGCCCTTAAGGACCACGAGGATGAGTCCTCCTCCAGTCCGGTCACCACACGCAGCTCACACCGCATAAAAAACGAAGACTTATAGAGGGCTCACAGATCCCAAACCAGAGCCCACATTCGTCCCCTCTTAGTTCTTTTTCTCCTCTGTTCTTTTTATGAAAAATATTCCTCCTTGAAGCCCTCCTCCCAGTGAATTGTACAACTCTGAGGAGTGCAGGGTCAGCCTGTATACATCAGAATAGCGTTTTGCATTACTTCTGGATGAGTGCAACTGTCAAAGCAATATGGCTTCACTGCTTGTGCCTCCTGTGGGCCGCTGTGTGGATTTGGTGGTGGCCCATTGGTGGCCAGATTAAGGCTGACAGGCAGCGCCGCACACCGCCTCTTGATGCACCTCTAATTATCCTGAACTGAGCTAATGCCTGGGAAGCACCTGCACACACACACACAAGTCTGGCGGGTCCTAGTCCCTGCCTGCCTGCCTGCAAAGTCTTTGTATCTCTCTTTGGTTTCCCCCCCGTTGTTTCATTGTTTCTTTCCAGGGTTTCACTTGCATTTAAAGAAATTTTGCACTTGGGAACTTTGTGTGTCAGATGCTAAAGGCTCATTCATACACATAACACTTTAACTGGAAAAAAGCAACTTGCAGAATCAAACATCCATTCAATGGCTATCTCAAGACTAGATTTAGAATGAACACAATGAAGTAAGCCATTGACAGCATGACAGATTGAATGAATCCTCCCCTGTTTTTAAATCCCTTAAAACCTTGTGCGAGCATGAATTTTAGGAATATCTCCCTTTGACAGAGCAGATATGCGAGTCTTGGAATATCTTTGTATGTGTCAGGATCAGGACGGTTTAATGTTATCCAAAGTATAAAAGCCATTCCTTAAGGTGTTTGCAAATGTAACCTGCCCTTTTTGCAAAGTCCATGACTATTTGGACTGTTTTAACACATCATTGTCATCCTCTGCTAAAGCTAAAGCATGTTATGTTACTGTCTCAGCAAAGATGAGAGACATTGTCTCCTGGACAATTTGGTATTAATGGAGGCTTAAAGATATGTCATTCAGGCATGTCAACAGATCACTCTGCTTTCGCTTAAAAATTAATCTCACAGTAAAAGGCTCTTTTTTTCGGTCTCATCACTTTTTAGAAGTATCATTGCTATTTCAGATTGCTGAAGGTAATCAATGTCAATAGTTGTAGTGCTTTATACATATTACATGTTATTTATTTTTTTAATCCAAAATAGAGATGTGACTACAGCTGACAAAATACAAAACCATGCCCAGAGGCTTTTGTGTTTTAACTGTTTTTACAATGAATTAAACTTTTAATATTCCTGCAAGTATTCATTAGATGCCACTGATCAACTGCAAGTTGCTTATGCTGTCTAGTTAAAACTGTTCGACTCAGATCCCAATATTGTTGCCTTAGGAATAAACACACAACGTTCATCTTTATTTGATTTTCCAAAACTGACAAGCCATATGTGAATATTTCACTCGCGTTTAATACAGCCTTAAACCAAATCGAAAACTTAATTGGCTCATTTTAACAATTAATATTTTAATCTAAGATATTATACGTTTTACTGAAACATCCTAGTCTGAAATTATAGAAGTGTAAGATGCTTTCTGGGATTTCTGCCTTTTTTATTCGCTTTTGAGGGTTCATTAAATGAAAACGTGATCCGATATTTTAATTTTGATTTCACTTTTCATAAAGCGTTCAAATATGTTAGTCTTTCCTCTTTGAATTAATGGCAGTTTGTGCCCTGATTAATCGTCAGTTTGTTTTCATATCATGTGAGTGTAATATCTCCATACTGTAGTTAAATAAAGTTCTTTATAAAAAAAAATGATGCGTAACGATCTTTTTAACTGTCCTGGTTTGTGTCGCAAAAATGCTTTATGTACATGGTACTCTTATTTACAACGTAATGATCGTAAAGGCATCACTTTCAACCCAAGAAGTTGTCGGGTTAAAGTTCATCCTGACGGGGGGAAAGATCATCGGAGCCCGATAAAGCCTGTTGCTCCAGCGGCTCTCCTCTCAGCTCTGTTCCCAGGGAAGGTGAGCCTGCTCGGAGAATGACTCGCTCTTCTCACGTAACAGCTGTGGAACTCTATCACGAAAGCTGATATTTGTGTCTAGATCGAGCCCAGGCCTTTACAATGAGACCAATGTTAACCAAAATAAGTGTCAGTCAGAGACAGAGAAGTATCGGATGAAGCCATGTCTATAGCACCTAGTTTTATTATGTTCCAACTGCTTGTTTTAGACCTTAACTTACGAAATTATGGCCTGAGAGTGACACAGTCATAGCAAAGCGGTAATGACGATAACTGTCCTGCGAAAATTAATAAACCAAATGGCATGCCTCTAGATTTTGATCAATTGTCCTGAGAGAGGAAAAAACGCTGGAATTTAATGTTTCCATGTCTGGTTTGTTTGTTTAGATGAATGAAAAACAAAGACAATAATAGAATAATGTTTTAGAAATTAGAAATAACGGTTCGTTACATAAAATAATGGCATAAAAACCGTATAACACACACACACACACAAATCTTACAAGTGGTGTAGCAATGAAAGAACCATTGAATGTAGCTACTTTGTGTTTACATATAATTATTTTTAAAAAGAAAAATATCAAACAATCAAATGCAATGGCTTTGGCTCAGAGTTATGTAGGTATAAAAAGGTACTCTGTTTTATGTATTCCTTGTCACATGAGAACAAAATGGTTTTGTTACGCCACACTGTTTTTCAAATAATCATATTTTAAAAACAAAATTCGTAATTGTCTTTTTGAAGGAATAATTATTCGAAAAAGAAAACTAGGCTACTTTAGTTAACATTTATTTAGCAAGAAATCCAGTTTTATATAGGCTACTTTAATACCTCAGAACAGATACAGATAGACTTTTTCCCTCACAAATAAATAAATAAAACTTGTAATTCAGAAATTAAACGTTAATCATAGAAGAGGTGTAAAGTTATATGTTGTATAACATGATTTTTAACTATTTGAATAACTTTAAGCGCCGGGCCATTTATCCGATAATTACATTAAACATAAATGGAAAAAATAATTTGAAAACTCAACTTATTCATAAGCAAAACACTGTACACTTACACAACAAAATGAATCAATCGAAACCATGCATAAGTAATTTCAAATTAAACTAATTAAATTAAGTTACGCAAAAAAAGCAAACATATAATGGTTCTCTTACTTCTCTTACTTTATCTAATTTGTGGGTTTTGATTAATTATTTTAACACCGTTTAAATTTGTAAAGCCTAAATTGTGTGAACTGTTGGTGGATCCTGTGCAAACACTGTAGACAAAGACTCTAAAACTTACATCTCACCTTAGAAATGTCAGACTTTAAACACTAAGGTAATGTGTTGATTTCATCCTCAACACTTTTTGTCATCACGCTCTCTTCCAGGAGAGCCACACTTAACTGCAAAAATATCGTTGTATTTGAAGTCTATGAAGTCCTTGATTGATTTTTCAATTTTATCCGTGTTTTGTCACACACGCTCTCGTCTCCTCCCATACTCTCATGCGCCGCCAAATATGGACTATTCTCAAAGAGTCGAGCACTTGCTGAAGCTGGACTGTCACTCCTCCAGGCCCTTGTCTTCGGGAGTACTTCCCCAGATCGCTGTCAGATCTCTATTTGCATAATTATATGCTCGGTTCTGAAGGGAAATCTAGCCCCCAAATTTTACGGGTCAGCAAACTGCAACAATCAATGTTTTATTGTGTCCTGAAAAAGAAAAAAGCTCAAATAATACAACTCCCTCTCATATTCTCCGTCTCTCCACCACTCCACTCCACTATCTATCTATCTATCTATCTATCTATCTATCTATCTATCTATCTATCTGTCTATCTGTCTGTCTATCTGTCTGTCTGTCTGTCTGTCTGTCTGTAGTTAATTTCTCTCTTTCTCTACTGTTATCCCTCCCTCACTGTCCCTTTTTGATTGATTTTTATGAGTTCATATAACACACATGGCCCACACACCCTTTCACACCCACCCACAAGCGCACCTTGGCTTCCTGAAGTTACGCTTCCTCGTGCGAAAGAGCTCCGTTAATGTGTCATGAGAGTGGGATATGTTTTGGGGTGATCACGCCACACAGTACTGGACAGCTGCTGCTGGCAGAGTCTTGGCTTTAAATGATTGCTTTCAGGTTGCTCCCTGTCTGTCCCCCCTTCTGTCTTCGATTCGGATATTTTTAGCTAGACAAAGTGTGTGTGAAATTGAGTGGAGCAGTTGCACAAAATGGATCACACTCCTCTTTCTTAAAGGGAAAAGGGAAGACAACTTTCATTAAGTTATGTTGGGACGTCATGATATGCAAGAGAGAAAAAACCCTCAAAGATTGAATTTGTCCTGTGTTGCTATGCAGTGTTTTCGAAACACTTGCTCGTAAGTGAATTATTGCATTTCGAGAATAATTGTACTAGTCTCATAGATCCTGGGATCCCAGGTGCTTAATTTAACATGCCGACAAATCCGTAAGGAAAATAATAATAAATACAATAAAAAAGGGATATTTTTTGTGGATAAAAATTGCCCTGCTCTTGCTTGGACAATGATAAACGGACTTTGGAATTCAACAATATGAGAAGGCGCCCGCATAAACTGATTTCAGTGTAGGTCAGAGAATATAATGTCCTGAATTCAGTTTATGTGATGAAAGGGAATGGCGATAAGGCATCAAAACAATTATTAGCGCTGAATCCACTTTTATGTAAAGATAAATTCCCGTCAAAGATATTAGGTGTCATAAAACAGGACAAGGAATGAAAGAGCACGTTCCATCTCACAAATAAAAAATAAATAAAAAAATGAAAACTTTTTTTCAATAGGGTAACGCCTGTTCGCATAAAGCAGTAACGCCAAAGAGGCTGCGAGACTGTTCAGACGGAAGGGGGGTTTGCTAGTGGGTAGAGGCTGTTTGATGGATCTCTACAGCTTTGAGACAGCTTGTTAATTAAAACCCCAAGAGATGAGCCTCTGGAGCCACCGTCCATATTAGAACATTGCTAACTATCCTGACAGCGAGCAATGTCACAAGCACGAGAAAGGCTTTGTACCCGTTTCTCAGCCCAGATTTGGCCTTTATGTCTTGCTGGTGTGGTGGCTATAAAAATATTTCATAATATGGCTCAAATCTCCTCTATTGACTATTTAACAAAAGTAATCATTCATTTTATAATGTTACATTTTCTTACAAATATAGGCTAGTAAAAAAAAAGTCTGTCTTTAGAAGAACAGCAAATGAGTAGTCTCGAGTCTTTTAATGCAGGTCAGACTCAAATAATTATTTTAATAAATGTTTCTAGTTATTTATTTATTGTTTGTTTGTTTGTGAAAGATGAATTGCTGCCAGTTAAGGTCGCATGGGTTTTCAAAAAATACATTTTTTTTTTCATTTTACAGCTTTAAACAACTTAATGTGGTCTACAATCTATTTAATTCAATTTTAAGATTTAAGTTTTTTAATTTAAGTTCAATTTTATCCACCAACAAACTAAAACATAAACATACAGTTTACAGTAATACGTTTTACTGATATTTTTCATGAATGCTGCCATTGCCAGTCCGTGGATGTCAGTCAGCGCGATTTACTCATTAAAGTGAATAACATGCAAACTACAAAATATGAATATAAAACATAAATCATGTCCTAAGTAAACTATCTTGAATTTACACGCAATGATATAAAACAAAATAGAAAACTGAGCATTTATGAACAACTCAATAAATTAATAATATCACTGTCATGTAAAATAGAAAGACGAGCAGATCGGGTAAATAATCTTTTTATTTTGATATTGTATATGTAATTTTTGGTGAATCCTGACGGACTGGTACTCCTCATCGTCCGCTGAGCAATCTGGTATAACATTTAAACGACATCTTTAAATGTTCTTCACGTCGTGGGCACATTCATCAACGTCAGATATGGACAAGCCACTATTTAGAGAAAGTGTAAGTGCTGCAATATATCTTCTTAACACTCAGAGGGGAGAAAAATGCGTTTTTGTGGAAATGTGAATAAATCCACTTACTTCTGTCTGTTAAAATGTAATAATATAACATTATCAGACGCGTTTTTGAAAAGAAAATCTACCGAGAGTTGGGG